TTATATTAGTTTGCCATTAAGAAAGCTCCTATTCCTTTGAAAAGCTCAAGCCTAGAATCCTAGACTAGCCCAGGCTGGAAGGAACCTGAAGAAATCACCTGGTCCAACCTTCTGTGGGAAAGAAAGCCTAGATGAGATCCTCTAGTTCCATGTCCAATTGCATCTTGAAAACCTACATATTTAGGAAAACCCTAATGTTTACAAATTAACAGAAACAAACAAACAAATCCCAACACCTAAATAACAAAAGGCTACACTGAGGTGTCTAAAGACCAAAAGCTTTAACAAATTAAATCATGCCAGTATTCTTTAAGTAAATAAACCCCTCCATGTGCACAGGCATTATAACAAGATAACAGTGTTTGCAATTTTGAAAAAGCATTTAGAGAATTTAACACGAGCTACCCCATCACCAGCACATTTATGCTGGTTAAAGAAAAGAGCTACTAAGGACAGCTGTTACCAACATAAACCAGGAAATCTTCAGGCACAGGACCTCTTCACTGAGGGAATGGGAACAACCGTACCTGCCACAGTGCTTTGTAGTTTGCTCCATTAGTAGCTCGTTAACAAAAACATCTCAATCACACGTTTTAACTCCAGCTGCAGCATGTCACAATTCAACTCTCATGATGTGTTTATCACAAATGACAGGCTACACAGGGTATTATTCCTCTTCTGCAGAAAGACAACTGCAACTTCTTTTTCCCCCCCGTTACGTTTTTCATCTCCCTTACATGCTGTCCCTGACACCCTCCCATCCGCTGGTGGGTGCTTTTCAAGTCTCCACCTTTCTTCAGAGGAGAAAAATATGAAGAGGCCACTTAATTCTAACCTCATCTAAATGGATTTATGCTCAATATAATTTAATGCAAATGATCACTGCAGCAATAAGCCACGGGAAGAAATCAGCACATCCTACAGTTTCTCCTGTTATTAGAAAGGCTTTCCAGCCTTACAACAACATAGGCATTATCTACACACAGAAACTACCTTTGTCAAACTAAGCCAAAGGTGAAGAACCTTTTACTCATCAAGGGCAAAAAAAAGCCTCACAAAAAATACCTGGCATACCACTTTAACACACTCTGCACTATTCACTGATAATGTAAAGTCTGATGGCCCAGGAGTCTCAGGCAACCTTTGAGTTAAGCCAATAAGCCAGTTCTAAACAGACACACAGTTATGTCAACAGGAGAAATGCAGGCCAGTCAAACTCAAATGTTTTTATTGGCATTTTTACTGGGGCTAAATTTGGGAGTCATATCATTTTCAAAAAATAGGAAAAAATGCTAAACACTTCTCTTTTTGACTACCAGAAAGCAACAGAGGGCAGAGTGTGCACTGAACAGTCAGCTCTGCTACCTGTGAAATGGAGGTGCACAACCTGGTGATAAATGGAAGTGCTCAGAGAGCAGAAAACAGGTGACCATTTCCAAAGGCTGATGGGCAGGAAGTTTCCTGCTACAATTTGCAGGTCAAGAAACCCATGAAAAGAGACTGAGAAAACATTTCACCTGCTTCTATAGAGAACAGGACTAAGAAAGGCGAGCCAGGATTGAACAAAATTATTTTGGGAGAAGAGACAAAACAGGACACTGCTACTCTCATTTTGAGTTTTAAAAATACGTTTCTCTCTCAGAGTGAAAATAACCACATTTGAGTGATTAAAAAAAAACACGTATTCTCCTCCTCATGCCTATCTGCAAACTTTTTGGACCAGTACAGCTGAATCACATAACAAACAAGTCACACTATGACATGTAGGTGCTTTTCGGTTTGCTAGAAAGATCTGAAGAAAACTGAAAATAAAGATAAAATACACTGCAGTGAAGTCACTGTACTGGATTCATGACATCATAATTGTTGCCATGGCAACTAGCTAGTATCAAGCACAGAATACTGCCTTCACTGCAGAATCAAGGAGCACTCGTGCTGCCACAAAATAGATGTTCTTATTCGAACAAAAATCCAGCCAACAACACAGGAAATAAGATATTGCTGTAAGTGGCTTGCCTTTTCAATACCTCTTGTTTTGTTCACCTGGTGTGAGACTTGTTAAACACCCTGGCACATATAAAGAGCTCTGATATACATGATAAAAAGAGCCTAACTGAAAAAATTATCATTTTCTCCCAGTGTTCCTCAATTTCTCTAGTAGAGTAATTCTCCTCTTCGTGTTTTCCTCTCCTATGCATATGACTGCAGTCATATACAACAAAACACATACAAGTTTAGACATGAAATGGGGGGGGAGAGGAACAAAAAACCTCCACCAACAACATTTTCCAGTTCTTACTGCAGCCAGCCAGACACAGTCAAACTGGAAATGTCACGCAGCAGCAGAACTAACTGATAAAGAGCATATTCCACATTTGGAGCCCACAACTCCTTTTGTTTAAGGGCTGCACCAGTCGCTGTTTTCATGCAACGCTTCAAACCCGCATGGCTCCGACAACAGCCCCAGAGTAGCTTTCTTGTAAATAAAAATGTCATCCCTTTCCCTCTAAACAGCCCTGTTTTACGTGAGGAATATCTGCTATTCCCAGCTCCTCACCATTCACGAACACAAAAGCTTCAAAAACTCAAAAAAGCCGCTGCCGATTTATCAGATCGCAATTAATGTTTGTTGACCAGCAGTTAAGTATAAAATGCACAAGTGCCCCACATTTGATGCTGCAAGATGAAATATCTGTTGAAATAAATCACCCAGGCACATGAAGGAAAGTGCACCTGGAAATTAACTTCATATTAACTTGCTGAACAAAAAAAGTCAAGAGTTGCAGGTCAGTAATACCAGATAGCGTTTCACAGTTCAACCTCATGGTTGATTAGCACCAAAGAAATTGTTTTCAAAACAAATTTTAACAAACAGACCACGCTATATAGTAAAGTATACTTATTTGCTACCTCAGTGGTTCTTAAAGAGCAATCTATAAATTACTGCTGGACCAAAGAACACTCCCACAACAACTACACGTAATTAGTCGATGTGTCTAAACAGTTTCAGTACACAATGATGGGGATTTTTTCAGCTTCTAAGAAAACAAAACTGCCCTAGTTACCAATTAAACAACAGCACCACATCTCCACATTGGCTTCATGCCTTCATAGGCCACTTTCTCTACTGATATCAAGTTCACTAATTACACCAAAACCAAAAGCACTGAAGTAACCTGCCTCTCCAGGCTCTGCTCTCTTTATAAAGAGGGTCAACAAATGAGCAACAAAGTAGAGAATACAAACAATAAAAAAGGAGTTTCAAATTCTGATGATTAGTAGACAGCTGTATCCCATATGCCTCTGTCTTCAGTTTCTCTTGGTATTACTTCACACAACCAAGAATGATGACTGCTACTTGAAGGATGACACCACAAAAATCCCAAGTTTAAACTAATGTTCCACAATGTGCAGTGTACTTAGGAAATTACTAGAGTTGACAACACATTCTAAGGAAATCATGGAGTGTGTCAATCTATTCCCTGCCACAGAAACCTAAGGAAATGAACAGTCTTTCACACGTTTTTTAAAAACCTTAGGAGCAGATGCTGCCTTTGATGACGACTCCAACCATATATCCTAATACACCAAATACAGTTAAAACAACTGCCACAAACTCAGAAAACTAAGGAAGTTGATAAAACCTCACACAAGTTACATGAGAAATGCAGAATTCGCATCTTCTCTGCAATTGAGTATAAATTTAAGTCTCTGTACTATACAACTGGCAAACCTGTTTGTCATATAAATAAGACAAATGGCAATGACATTCCCTTCCTCACTAGTAAACACAGCACTTCTATCTTTAACTTACACAATATGAAATCACCACTTTATAAGTAATAAAAAATAAAACTACTGTCTGCAGCTGATTTTGCTTTTTGAAAGATTCACAGATTAACTGACTCCTTAAGCAACTAATGTTGCTTCTCTGAGTGCACACAGAAAATTACAGATTATCTCAAGAGTTTAAAAAGCTTTTTATATAACTTTAAAATGAACTTGTTGAATTAGGTTTCCTCCAACAGTCCTTCTGCTAAGTCTAACTTTTGCTTATGTTAACACTTGACAGGGGAACGCAAATATGTAAGTGCTGGCCCACCTCTGTACATGGTATTTTTCCTTGTATTATTCATGTATCACTATTGTAACAGAAGCAACAACTGAAAATATTCTGCTAGGATCCTTAGAGATGCCCACAGCACTTGCAAACCTGACTAATGACACCACAACACAAAAAACACTACTTGTCCCTCCTCTCTCCCCCAACAAATCAAGCGGAAAAAGGCTCGGGGATTTAAGATGCCACACAACTATTCTAACTCCTTATGCCTTTATTCAAACTTCCCTACAGCAAATTCTTCCTACTGTTGAGAGTTCATCATCCACAATTATAGAAAACTTAAGTGTAAAAGCACTTAAATACAATGATATGTCGTTAAATTTAGCTGTTAGTTCAGAAACACTACAGATATCATTAAAAAATGTTACAAGATGTGCCTGGATCCAGTTTCAATTTTGACTACGTTGAGAACAATATTAAAGAAGTAGTTTATCCTAACACAGGCATGGCAGAAGCACATTCTCTGGAAGTTTTGGGGCACTGGCCTTTAGTCATGCCTTAGTATATTTGGAACAAGTCCCTTATGCATCACTGACCTGAACCACATAATAAGGTGCACCTACGTTGCAACCAGGGTCCAAACCAAATTAAACCATATAATGATAAACCACAGCATTTTCATCTCTCAGAACTGAGAGGAGACATTCTGTGCAATGCCATTGTATCCCACTGTGATGAGAGAAGGAATAGACTTGAAATAAAATTAGCTCAAAAATTACAGATTTCTGCAGTCCCTGTCTGTAGGATAATTCTTGCACTCAAGACCCTCAACTGGTCTTAAGGAGTCGAGAATCTGCTCAGTTGTGGATCTTTTACATGAAGTAGTAACTGAGGCTGAATCATTAACACCCACTCTCTTATCTGCACAAAGTAGGAGAGCAAAAGGAGCTTCCATTTCTCAAGTTCCCTGGTAGGGAAGAAATTAGTAGGAAAGCCCTTGGAGCAACCTCACACTTGTTTCCCAGAGCTGGAACTGTGCAGAGCAGACAAGGAACATCATCTTACCTGAACTCTTTTATGGTACTCCTGAGCATTTCAGGAGAGGAAAGAAGCCAGGTACAAAATTCAGGATGCACTGGGAAATAAGTGGGAAAGTGTTTTCTTTTTGTTTGAAAGAGAAAACTAAAATCACCATCCAGGCTCTGATCAAACATCTACCTGACCCTCCTCCAACAGCAGGCACCTAGGAAAGAGTGTAAGAACAGGGCAAGCACAGGGACAGTTCCTTGGACTACATTCCCAAACACCAAGAATTTGCAGCCCGGTACATGACTGAGCCAGAGGTAAAGAACAACATGCAACAGACTACACAGCCCTTCTTTCTACCACCTGCACAAACTGGTCCTCAGACTAAACACACAGAAGAGTAAATTCTCCACTGTTCCAAAAGACACTCCTACCCTCCCAAGTTTAGCTAACTTTGTTGCCATAACCTGTCTAACATAACTATATTCTGGCTGAAAGGGCACAGCAGATAATGATAAAGTTTAAGGGCAATGACTCGTAAGTTGCAGGCTTCACTTGAGATACTGGAAATACTTGTAGCAATTTACACTGTGTACTTCAGATCAACATAAATTCAATAGACCAGAAAAGTATCACTGGAAAGTTCAGTAACAGCCAAAAAGGGCCACATGTTTCCAACACTAGGAACAGACACCCTCATTCGGAAACAAAGGTTACAAGTGGAAAACTGCTGCTCCCTTTGCCCTTCTACCTCCAGTTTCTTCACACAGTCCCAACACATTTCTGCAGGAAGCTGGGACAGTTTTACACAGTCTCTGTCATGGAAAACAGTCCACAAAGTGATAGCTAAATACGTACCCTGCTTATGTTCCCTCTTCTTTTGGGCAGCAGCCCACCCCTAAATTTGATTCACATGAACTGTACCCTCAGGTGTGATGACAAAGCAACTCAGAGGATCCCTCACAGATTTCAATCTGAATTATCTGAGCTACTTCAGGCAGCGCAGATCACACACAGCCCTTCCTAACCCAGCTCATTTGAACTGAAATGGATTAAACAGTACCTGAATGGGAAGACACACCAACAGATGCAGGGGAACAGGAAACTCTGACAGCCAGAAGCCGTAATGTCTTCTGCTGCTGTAACCAAGAGCTGAAGCTGTCCCCAGCCCAAGCTTTCTGGTACTTTTCCCAAAGCATATGTGCATGCCATTGGAGGATGGGGTGGGAAACACTCCCAGAGGAGCTGGTAGGGAAAGGAGATAGCATTTACTGGCATATCCATCTCTCTACAGCCTTGGGAAAAGTGTCTATTTAAACTTACATTTGAAAATTCAAATAACAGTGATAAACTACTGAAGATCATCAGGTAAGAAAAAACCACGAATGCTCAGAAGGGAGTCTCTGCAAACAGAATTCCTGAAAGAAACTTGAATCTCATTTCCCATTCAGTAGACTGTATTAACTAATAATGTAGAAATGAGTGATTCAAACATCTGAGTCATTTCTACCTGTATCCACTGTATATTCCTTCCCTTCAGCTGTATCCAAGTAGTATAAAGCCACAACTTCACACTGGTATGGTCAGGCACAAATTACTAAGTCACGTGGTATTTTTCAAATAAAACTGAATCATCGAAAGGACAAAGAGAACAAACAGCAAAGGAGCTCACTGCAAAAAACATGGTGACTTCCTACCAACCCTCAAAGAAAATGAGGGGAAAAAAGAAACAAGCTACATCTCCAGCCTGATTCAACAGGGGTTTTTACACTTATATTTAAGTCTTCAACTGTATTTACTATTTTAGTAATTCAGATGTTCATATCTTCCTTTTCCAAAGCTTCATGCCCTGTCATACAGTGTCAAACATGCTATATATGCTACTTCATCTCTATACAGCCAAATCAGATTTCTGGGAAGAAAAAAAATAAAAGGAACGATGAGCAAAAGGTTCCTTGTCACGGTATTACAATTTATAGAAAAGATGAATCTGTCTCAGAGTGATCATATTAAGTGGCTGAAGCAGTTATGCTTGGGTTTGGTGAGGGTTCTTTTAAGGCTGCTTTACAGGGATATCAGTCCAAAATTTAGCAGGAGTAATGGTGTCTGTAATTTCCCAAGTCCTTCTGTCGATGTGTCCTTTTAAGTCCCAGTCCATTTTTAGAGAGGTGTCTCACCGTAAGCAGCGCTAAAATAATGGGAACCACTTAAAGGTCTCATCCACAAATTTTTATTTGAGTTTCTGTCCCTGCTACCGTTAATGTAACCATACCTGTGACAGCACAAACCACACCAAATCTTCAGCATCTACTGGTTTCTAAGCTACTCTTCTGCTTAGGTGCAGTTTCTTTTCTGGCTTCAGTGATGTATGTACAACCCACTGCTAGAACAGGAGATCCAGCATAGTGCCCACAGCTACACTGGCTTCCCTTTGGCCAGTACCATTTTAGATCAAGTTGAGCTCATCAACTCAATCAACTGTGGTTTCAGAGTGGTTTATGTCAATCTAAAAGCAAAGCTATACAATTAAGCTAACCAGAATACTTGCTGCTGCTTTTGAAAAGAGGAAGCTTCATTTCCCTTCCTTCTTTCCCTTTCCTCCACTTTCACTCACATGGCTCTTTCTATCTTCTCTCTTGCACTTGTGGAGCCAACTTCAATTCATAAACCAAAGATGTAAAATAATCTGGGGCTAGTTTTCCACCAAGTTAGCAAGTTAAGCTAGAGCATCCTGGAAACCATTTAAGCGCTGGGATGGGTGCCAAGTAAGTGGCAGGATCACATGGCTGAGAGCATGACTCCCCATTTATGCCAGCAGGAAAGCCATAGGAGAGAACAAAATTATGAGAAGACTTGGGTCAACACGTGTGCTTCTTGTTCTCTTTCTTGATTGGTGCCGCTATTTGTCTAATCTCATTGTAAGCCAGCTCAGAGAGCTAAACCAACAAAAAAACCCATTCATTATTTTTTGGCGAGGGTTGTTTTCTGCCAGTTTAATTCCCTGCACCAGCTCGGCAAAGGAAGCGGGCAAGCCATCTGCACCGGCGCAGGGAAGGGGGCAGGAACACACAGGGAGATGAGGACAGGCTGGGGCTGATTTAAGCTGTCACTGAACCGCATCCCCTGGAGCAGATCTGCATCACACCGTAGTTAGAACTGACAGTAATCTGTGCCTGTACAACGGGAGGCCTTCGGCAGCGCCGGCAGTGCCCAACAGCGCCAGCGCCGAAACACCCGCGCCAGGCTCCACCTGGGCACGAGCCCGCACGGTTACGTGTCAAAGCAGAAGAGTCACAGCGCTCTCACCTTCAGAAATACTATGAAACATTAGCTAATTCTCTCCCTAGCAACACCCCTGTGAAAACGTGCTCTGTAATTCCCATTACACAGATTTAGCCCAGAACAGCAGAGCAAGCGAAACTGGTGACAAACTCAGGATTGGAACCTGGTAAATCCTCTACAGCAAACCAACACTTCATCACTCAGCTGTGTTATTAACCCTAAACTAATTCAATTAGTCAACAGCAGACTATCAAAAACTCTTTTTGCAAAGACTTTGTAATGCACTATAAAGCTCACAGATATAATACAGTTAACGAACGTGGATATCTCCTAGATAGCTGTGAAATAAGAAACTAGAGAAAGGAATAATACTGAGAGTTAAATAATTATTTCCTTTTCTATAGAGAAAAATAAGCGTGCCTGAAGCAGGATGAGGGCCTATTCACAAGATTCAGGAAATGTAATGCAAAGAGCTCCAGAAAGGAAAATACATCTAATGCATCTTTTTTCTCAGATCAGCATTGTCAAACTGTTTCATGTGAAATACAAGCAATTACTTAATACACACGATCCAAGAGCAGCATCTTTCCTTAAATTTATCTCCTACACTCAGCCCAACAAATCCCACACTTAACTTGCCCCCTGTAACAAGGAAGCACATTTGGAAAAGGGAGGGGGGGAGGAGGAATTTGTTAACACAGAAGCAAATCTCTGCAGCAGTGAACAGCCAGCACTGTAAGTCTATCCAGCAGCACGAGATAGTCTTTCATTCACATTCCAGCCTAAGCACAGCCAAGCAGATCACATTTGGGACACTCAAGTCATACTTAATTTTGTTCAACACCTTCTTTAGACAACAGCTTTGTCACCAAGGCTGAAAAACACGTGTGTCATAGAAGACAGTCGTTTGCCAGGATTGTCACTGATTCTCTTAAGATAAAAATAATAAAGCTGTACATGCAAGTAGCAGAGGCTGCCTAATTGTCAGCTGTATAAAACAGCAGTATCAAGATTATTGTCCTGAGGGCACCAACAGTTTAAGAGGAATAGAAAAGGATGCTGCAACCTGTTTTGAAGTCTTGAAATCTACAGGAGCCAAAATTTGAGGAAAACAAATGAAAACTTACTGCATGCTACAAAAAACTACTGCAAATTTGCCAGAGAACCAGGAGAGAAAACAAACCTAGGGAGAGACTTGAACCCTCTTTAACAGAAAGAAACTGGATGATAGATGAACCCAACCAAAACATCCCGGACAGCATAGGCAAAACATTTACCCCAGAATCCTTCGTACCCTCATACATCTGAATTTAAAGAAAACAGCAAAAGTGAGCTACTCTAAGTGTGGAACTTACTGCTTGAAATCTGAAAACTATTATTTAAGTGACAATGGTGTTCCAAATCCCCTTTTTCTGGGCAATAAATTATTATAACAAAGCTGAAGTAAGAACAGCACTTCTTCACACCATGTAAGAGACTCCCGACACATGTTGGTGCTTCTTCAGGCTTAACAGGCAGACCAAGTTGAAGGGAACCTCGCTGATTCCATCAAGTGAGGCACCTCCAGACACTGCCACTCGCTGGGACGAGCACTCCACGTCCAGCATCAGCAGTCAGTATTAACACTTACTGCTTGAATTATGGCTGCAGGCTAATCTTTGAGAAATTGATAGTGACAGCAAACCTGAGATTTTTTTTTTTTCCCCTCTTTAAATGACAGGTTGAGAAGCTTAGATTCTCCCCCTTCTTTCTGGGAAGTGAGGGGTAAGGTCTAGCTCCTCTAGTTTTAAAAATCACCATACTGACACACATCTCCCCAGTTCTGCTCCACACGGCTACTGGCACAGCTTAGCCTGTTTTCCAACCAGCTGTCAGATTGCTAAATTTTGGTCAGGTTTGAAAAAGAAAAGGGGAAAAAAAAAATGCAGCATCACCCTGATAACTGAGCAGATGTAATCAGGTGGGGGAACTATTTCATAGGGAGAACAAGTCTGACTTCTGTCTCAAAAGCTGAAAAGACAGCCAACATAGAATATATTCTCCTGATAAAAATTAGAAAGCGCTGCAACAGTAGCACAACCTTCCACTTCCACCACAGCCAGGTAGTCCATAGGGAAGAAAAAAAGCTTCTTTTACCCTCTGATCCAACACACACGAAGATGGTCCAAGAAGTAGCTTAAAATCTGACACCTACCAGTGACAAACTAACACAAAAGTCCATACTCAAGACTGAGAGGTAATACTCACTCACTAGTCTGGGCACCTTCTGAGAAGTGAAGATGATGCCAAGGTTTGGGAAAAGGTGCTTCCCACTAACATGTTGCCTATGGGCTTCACTGGGGAAGACACATTTCTATCCGCAGCACATTCCAGTAAAATTTTAAGCTACAACACAGGCACACAGCTATATGTTGGAGAGAAACACGTCTGTATTTTGGCACGTAAATACCTGAATTCAGCATCATAACCCTTAAGACTGCACAAGGCCACTGTCCAGTATTCCATTCTATAGAAATTACTAAAACGTCAGCGACAAAGAAATTTTGGTTGCAATGCACAATGTACATTTTTATCATGCTGGATAAAATATCTACAGTCTCAGCAGTGGTTAAATTGCTGCTATAAAGGAAATTGTCCTCAGATAAATGGTTTCCCTATGAGAAGGTTTCAGTGCTACACCTCACCCCAGGTCAATAAATCAAATTAACTGCACCTTGTCCTCTGGCCAATGACATCATCGGCTTGACCACATCTCGTGAAGCGAGTGCAAAAACATATGCTATTTAAGGCATGAAATCATATTACTGCTTTTTGTCCAGCCAGCCTTGTGCTGTTGGTCTGTGAAACAGTCAGTCACCTGAACAGTCTCATTACTGCTTCTACAGATTTTTTTTTTTCTTCTAGTATTCAAGGCCTGTCTTCGCCAAGGGTGAAGAAAAAGGATAAATAATCTGAGTCGTTACTTTTTAAATCAAAATGCTTTTCATTAGCTGCAGCGCAGCTTTTCGTGACAAATTAAATTTAGAACCAAACTACGGAATCCGCCGTCTGCACTCGCACGTGAACTCTCTTCCTAGTGGTTTCAGAGATGTTTACATGCTAATCTGGCACTGCTACTCTGAAGTACCCTGCTGTTCGGTCCTTTTTCTCCACAGGGTGAAAACAATGGTCACTAATGAAAACCTACATAGTTTTATCTGAAACCCAGCCCTGCATAAATATTTCCCTTTTTTAAATTACTGCCTCTTTCTAATAAAGTAGCCCATTTGTTTTATTTTTAAGTAGACTAATATCTGGTTTAAAACTGAATTACTCCAGACTATTTAAGAGGATTAATTTCAATTTTCACTTGGTGTTCTTATGACAGAATCACAGAAAACTTATCTTCCTTTCTAGACTCTGTGCTGCCTAGTGGTATCTTCTGTCTTGAAAGCCAAATCTAAATGAAAGGGGGAAAAAAAAAAAACCAACCCAGAACAGTCAAAGATACAAGCAGCGACAAAAGCATCTGACACACTGCACTGTTAAACTGCATCCACATTAAGTAAAAAGAAGGTGAATAAGATTATCTTCAATGTATTCAATTCTGTTTGTGTTCAGAGGGAGGAGGAAAGCTGTTCAGATTTTGAGTGTGTCTTCTATAGCT